TGGCCCAAAACACATTACACCACATATTGCACACGTGCATGTGTGTGTTCAGGTTCAAGTGTTAGTGTACATATTCTTTGAGAAAGGTCGAGTTCCCGTGGGGGGAGGGGGGCAGAGGGAGGGGAGACCAGGTGCATGTTGCGAACAATTATGGTTACAGTGGATGAAGGGGGTGGGGGAGGGGCGTCTAAAGTCAAAGATGAATATTGATTGGGCCAAATTTGACCTCGAGTCACCCAAAACAATTCTGCTGGGTCTCCCCAGACCCGAACACCAAATTATACACTTTTTTTTTTAGAGACCTTCAGACTTGGCAAACATTGTCAAAATCTGTTTTGTAGTCCACAACAGCTATATACACATATAGGTGTCGTGGAGGATATCATGAAGCCTTGTTCCGATACAAAAAAACTAGAGCGTAGTTATTAATTTTAACTTGAAACGGGTCACGGGAGACCCGAACACAACATAAAGGTTAACTATCAAACTAGTTTCACTGTGTCGTTTAGTTTACATTTAAGAGGTGAAATTCATGGTATTACTGCACTGTAAATGTAGTGTTTGCTGACACATTAGAAAAAGCATTTAAAATAATAATGTGATAACATTTCAGAGCCGCTTTGTCTTTATGTTGTGAAGTTCTTCTTCCTCTGAACGGCCTGTTGGACGAGAAGTGAAAAGAGGGAAGTGTCAAAGAGCTTTGATCAAGTGTATGTTAGAATGAGTGCTCTGATAATGTTGTTCTATAGTGGTTCCTTCAGATTAACTAAGTTAAATATTTCTACAGAAACCTTTGAACATACATACATCTTAAAACGTACCTTTAGCACAAAGAAGATGGCTGAGTCTATTCATTCTCGTATATCGCTGAAGTGTTCTCATACACAGCCTCTTCTAGTTCTAGGAGGAAAGAAAAGTGTTGATATATCTTATTTTTTATACATTATGTACAATTTGATCACATGAATACTTACCTTTAATATCAGATTGTGTCACTGCTTTGTTGTTGTTTCTGATTGTGTTAGTGCTTTGTTGTTGTTTTCTAAAAAGCAATGATAAAATACAGACATGCAAACAGATCAACTCAATTCAAACTTTTTATTACACAGACTGCAGTTTAGATGTTTCAACTTACTTTGTGTTATAAACGTAGTACCCTCCACCAACACATAACACAAACGAGTCATAACTAAAGGGCTTAGGAACATATGGAGAATATATAATAAGAGCAGGCCCTTTGTTGAACATCAACCTTTTGTAGTTTGAGTAAACAAGGTTGTTACACACAATGTCTACACCAGGGATCACCAACTACATTTGTCCAAGGGCCAAAAACACCATTCTAGCTCCACATTTTCTGTCTGCTATCTTCCAATGTGCTGATCCTGAATCTTCCTCCTGCCTGGTTTTTGAGTCAAGCTTTTGGGTCTAAACTTGGAGATACTGAGCCATCACCTTTCCCATACTTGTAATTGTAAAGTGTCACTATGAAAGTAGGTTTATGTTACATACTTATGATCTTTTCAACTTACTTTTTGTTATGAATGATGTACCACACAATAGCAGCTACAACACCGAGGACGACTAAAACAGCGATTACTATTCCAGCGATGCCACCACCCGACAAGCCTGATGGTACTAAAATAAAACAGGAGATAAAACATGACTTTTACATCATTCTGTAAACGGGAACTGCCTCTTCATCTCATCATCCCTGTGGATACAAGGCACAAATAAACACAGTACTATAAGTGCAAACAAAAGCTCACAGGCACAGAGAATTAAAAAAGATAAAATCATAAGCACTTCTACAGATTAGGACAGCATGTTTGATTTGATTTGATTTTAAGATTTTGAGACATGTCACGTTCCTTATTTCTGATTATACAGATGCCGGTTTTATAATAATGATAATAATTAGTTGGAGCCCGCTAATATGTTACTTCAGATTTTAATGTGCTCTTACTACTAACTCGCTACCTGTATGTGTTACGGTCAGTTCATGGACCGCAAATAATCCTCTCCCGGTTATATCATTCCACGCTACACAGTAGTAGTTGCCACTGTCAGATAATTCAGTGTTGTCTTTATAAATCACAGCAGAATTGTGTATCTCTGTCCCATTCAGCATCCAGAAGTAAATTGGCAGTTGGAACAGATTCAGCCGAGCAGGTTAAATTAAATGTGTCTCCAACATGTATCTGACTTGGACCTGTGATATGAACTGTTTCTGGTCCATCTGGAAAACAGATATTTGGAAGAATGTAAAACTTGTTCAATAGTTCCTCAATAATCTAAAAGTATAATTGTGAACAGTAGAGTTATAGTTTGTTACCTACAGATAACAATCATGGAGTACTTTGCTTCCTCGCTGCTGAAGGGGTTGCTGATAATACAGGAATAATCTCCTGTGTCGTCTTTATTCAGACTGCTAAAAGACAGCTCTCTGTTGTTGTTGGTGAGGGTCATGTTTACAGTCAGAGTCAGATCTAAGCCTCCCTTTCTCCACTCTCTGGTAAAGACAGAGCCAGCAGCGTCACAGATTAATCTGAAAGAGTTCCCCTCAATCGGCAGG